ATATGTTGGCTAGAGAGGTGAAGATATTGGCTTTCGAAAGTCTTAAACACAGATCTAGAAAAGGTTATTTCTTTAATTGGTTTGATTTGTTATAGCCCTTCACGGGAATGCATTAAACTCATGTAATTCTTGCTACTTGCTAGCTTGTTTTGTTAAATTTCTTGTTGTTCGAAAAAATAAAAAGAAACAAAATAGGGGTGAAAACAAGGGGATATCAAACATGTTGCACATGTCACCGTTAGGGGTGCTTGTTTGGATGGATTAGTTCGATCCGATCCCATTACGTGAATACAAATTAATTTTGGTTATCAATACATAGATCCAAATAGTCAAAAGTAAATTCAAATCCGATCTGATCCAATAAAAATATAATTCGGTTGGATCGATTTTATAATTCTTTTTTCAAAAATTGATTTTTTTTAAAACCACATATAATTAGAATACTACCCAACTTTATAAAAGAAAAAACAAATAACTTATTTTTGGTTTAGAGTTTATAAAAAACTACTTTTTTAATAATATATACCTTCATTGCTCATTTATTTATCATCGTACAATTCAGTTCGTATATTATAGAGAAAAAACTTTTGAGAGAAAATACATATTAAGGTTTTTTATTACGTGAAATTTTTTGAATCATTTTGAAAAAATAATAAAATAATAAATAATTATACATATATATTAAAAATAAATAAATAATAAACTGTTATTTGATTTTTTTTTGGATTATTCAGTTCGTATTTTATAAACCAAAACCAATATCAAATCTAATGTAATAATTCGATTTTGTTGAAAACCAATCCAAAAATCCAAATATTCGAACCAAAAAATTCAATCCAAATTATGTAACATCCCGACTCCCAGGTATAAAAATTTAATGTTTATATTCATGTTCTTAGACCTACTCGACGAGTTGGATGTCCCAAATCATCGTGTAGGAACGATTCAGGCCACATGAATTTAAAGGGGTCTACTCGACGAGTTGGAGGACCCCAACTCAACAAGTAGGAGCTGGAAAATGAAACCCTAATTTCTAGGGTTTTACACCCTATATAAAGGGTCATTAGCCTCCTTCTACCTCCCTTACCATCCCTTTTGAGCTTAGAAAACCCTAATCGCACCTACTCTCCATTTTTGTATGTTAAGAAGCTTGGAAGGAGGATTTATGAAGAAATCTTGAAGTCTAAGGAGCTTAGAGCAAGGAGAAGCTTGTGGATCTGATTTCTACTTTATCTTGGCATCCTCTTGAATGTATCAAGTCGTTACCTTGACTTATCTTTAGCTAGATCTCTTCATGCAAAGGGTTAGGCCATTTTCTAGTTAGCCATGGGTTATTTCGGGTATTGGACAAGATCTGAGGTTGTAGCTTCTGATCTGGACTCCTCTAAGCCTTTATAGTCATAATGGTCCAGTCTTTGGCAAGTTAAGGCCTTCGGGTTACCTAAAACGTTTCCTTTAGCTTATTTTTGGCATTTAGGACCTTGCATATACATAAAGCTTGCAAATTTACATGGAAACCATGCCCTAGGAAGTTAGATATGCAATTTGGAGCTTTGGGGTAGCTTCAAAATGTCTGATTGAGAAATGGGCTGAAGGGAATCGACGAGTTGCATGGTCAACTTGACGAGTCAAATGAATATTGGTTGTTGTTGGTTTTTGCATGGACTCAATGAGTTAGTGAGACGACTCAACGAGTCAGTAAAGGTTTTCTCGACTTTTAGACACGCATGGACTCGACGAGTTATCTTGAAACTAGGGGAGTCAACAAGGGTTTTCTGGATTCTTCAAGTTTGGGAAGCACTCGACAAGTCAGAGAGCTACAATTAATGAGTTGGATCAACATGGACTATTGCCCCTGACTGTTGACATTGAATTTGACCAAGGGTTGACCAGCTTGACTTCTAGGGGTATTTTAGTAAGTCGGGAATTTATGAAAGTGGATCACTGGTGGATGTGGGTGTTTGAGTGGGAGTTGTATTTGGAGGAGTTTGACATTATCATCTCGGGCTACTTGCGAGGTGAGTTGTCCTCACAATACTTAGGTGTCGAAGGCACCAAAGCCAGCCCATTGGATCTGATATCCTAGTAGTTGATGATATGTTGAGTATGAGATAGTTATACATGCTAGTTGCTATGTCAGTTTGGTAGATCTTTAGGACTACTTGTATTACTATTTGGTTATCTATATGTGCCTTTAGTTTTTATGTGTCGACATGTTGTGTGGAAGGGTTGAGGTTGTACTACTCTGTGTGGTAGCCAACAAACCTTGGAGTATGCCAGATATAAGCTGATGTCCAGGAAGGGAATGCCAAACTCATACTAAGGACTCATGAGCATTCCATATACGAGCTGAGGGTCATGCAGGGCATGCCAGACTCGTACTGTGGGCTAAACTTTGTATTCCAGTCCAAGGACTGAGGGAGCACGCCAGTCATAAGTTGTGGGCTCGAAAGAAATCCATACTTATGATGTGGGCTCGGGGGCAATTCGGATGTGAGATGTGGGACCAAAAGGCAAACCAGAATCACATTGTGGACTCAGAGGTAATCTAGTATGTAGATTTGTGGACCCATTACATGTTGTTATTTGTATATGTGCTATTTTCTATGTATCGGTATTTTGAGGGAACTCGCTAAGCTTCGGGCTTACAGTTTTTGATTTTGTTTCAGGTACTTCGGATGATCGTGGGAATGCAAAGGCTTGATCGTGCACCTCCTCGCATTCTATAACTTTGTTTTTTGGGAAACTCCGATATGGAACTATTTTGAAAACAATTTTGTAATAACTATTGGTTTTTGAATGTTTTAAAAAGTTTTAAATTGGCTTGAAGTTTATGGATGTTACAAATTATCAAATCTGACAATTCAGTTTTATCTAAATAATGAACAACTCTAGTCGCCGTTAATGACGATATTTCTTGTAATCTTAATTAATATTATTATTACTATTATTTTGATTTGATATTTAATATCTTCAGACCTTTACCATAAATATTATGATTTAAAAGAAATACAACTATTTTTTGGGTATGTGGAGAGAACATCGGTATTTCAGAGCTTGAAATACATGAGGGAACCATAAGGGACTATAGGATGAAGACATAAAGGTCTTATTTAAAGAAATTAATAGTAGTATGTAAGTTTGGATGGTGTGGAGTTCGGATAACTCAACAACAGACCTCAACGAACTCGACGCACATTGGGCTGACCCCTTAGCTTGTCGATATCGGCTTCATAACTCAGCTACCTTTCACTGAGCAGAGAGGGTGTATTGGGTTTGTAAATGTGAACGCTGGAGGGTCAAATATGGCCGTTTTTTCAAAAAAAAAAATTCCAAAAATCCTTTTTTTTTTTTTTTTACCTTATATACATATCATTCTTTCTCATATTTTATCCCCCTTCACCATCTTCATATTTTCACTCAAACAATTCCAGTTTTTTGAAAAAAAATGACTTCCTCTTCCCACCCAAAAGCTCAAAAAATACCAAAAGAAACACTTCAAACCTAAACATCTCACATTCTTCACCAACTTTCATTCAAAATCAACGTGATCGACCTATTTATTCTTCACTAAATCTACATTTTGGTGGTGTTTACTATCCATTTCAAGCCTAAACTCAACCTCATTACCAAAATTAAGCACAATACGAAAACCAACCTGAATTCCAAAATCAACCACAATTTCAAAGACAACTCCAGTTTCAAAACCAACCACAAATCAACTTGTTGAGATAAAATCTCTAAAGATCGAAATATTCAAATAGGTAATGAAAAACAAGGAACACAAGAATGGATCAAAATATACTGAATGATTTAAAGTCAGGCCTTAGAAGAACTTGATTAAAATTTGCTACTGTAGAGGCGTGTAGGGTTGTAAGGTTATTTCCAAATTAAGTTACAAAACATGATGCATGCATGCATCTTAAATACTATAACCCTAATAATAAATGTCGGGTTGACAAGCCCAATCCCGTTTACAAAATAAACTAAATAAATAACCACAATGACGCAACACAAATACCCAACAATCTACCCCTTTGCGTCAATTGAGGCTAGAGTCCATCAAGGTTGAGTTCGCTTCTACACTTCAAAAGCATTTCGAATAACGCTCAGAACAACCTTGCAAACCAGGATGTACCATTGAATCATATCCAAAAAGCACTTTTTGTCTGCCTTGTTGTTGCCCTTGTGTTTGTTGACCATGTCCAAAATATACTCCAGGCAAGAGGTAGTGTAGAAATGTTTATTAGGGAGGAAGAAATAGGCCTTGTGAAAGTCTACATCATTTCGTTCTCGTGCCTAAAATACCACATACCATCCTTCTTCATATAGCTACCCAGGTTTCAACTTCTCAAAACATTCTGCAACTTCTTTAGGGAGAATAGAGGGCTTCCTTCGTAGTACAAAAACTATTTCTACATCCATTTTGCCTACCTCTTGAACATACAAAACTATCATCAATTTGAGGTGAGAAATAATAGGCTCGTACTTCTGTCTATCTCTCAGCAGTAACTTGTAAAGCATGATCCAGTTATAGGGATTGAGGCAAGGCAAGTCCGCAAGAGTGAATTCGTGAACCTGAATAGCAGAACCTCTCACAACCTTGAACTTTGCATTTAGGAAGTCATCAGTCTCGATTGGACATGTGACTTTCACTGTAGTAATTTTGCTAGCACTCCACTTTTCGTATTGTGGCTTCATATGCTTGATATAGAACTAGAAGAGAAAATGATTAGCGCCACTATCAATGGATGGGACATTCTATACTTTTATAAAATAAAGAAACTTGAAGGCTTTCAGAGTTATTGGGAGGTTCAGTTGTGAATCTTATGTATTCTGAAGCTCGAATGACACAACTGGTTCCAGCTAATATTGACTCGGCAAATCCACGGTTTCGTTCTGAATTTGCTTCAGAGTCCACTCTGGAAATAAAAGCTTTCGGCTTTCCAGTGTGACCTGAGCTTCACATTCTACTTTCTCTTTTGCTTCAGCCTCACGTATTATTCTTTGACGCTCTTCCATTTCAACTTCACGTGCTTTTCTTCTATTGATCTTGTTTTCATCAGGCTCTTCATCTTCGCCGTTGTCAACAATAGGTTCTTCACTGAAAAGGTTTTCTTGCCTTTAGTCTCGGATTTGCTTTTGACAGTGTGCTTGGCTGAAGGTTTGGGATCTTCCTTCTTGGATTGTGACATACCTTCTCCCCCTTGTTTCGGAATGTAACTAGATTCCAGAAAAACTTCCAATCTATGAATCATGGCGAAGACGGACCTTAGTTTATCAGGTATATGTGTATTCACCATGATCGTAATAATTGAGTCTCGATTCTTAATGATATCCGAAAGCAAGCCAGTAATGTCTGCGATACAGCTTTTCATAGCTGCTTTTTTCGGAAAACAAATCATTAACTTGTTTCTCAGTATTCTTGAATTTGACTGTCAAGACTTTCACCTTTTCAGTCTTGATGGCAAGAGAATCCATTATTTTTCTCTCCATTTCTAGATCATCTTGAAGCTTAGATATTTGCAAGGAGATGGATGAATTGAACTGAGCATGGTTAGTTTGAAGACCAGTGCAAACCTTTTGAAGTTTTGCCTTCTCAGTTTTAAGTGTACAACCCAGGCTAGAAATGACTTCATCAGCCTTTGCAGTGTTCAACTCAAAGGAGCTCTGGAACTTCTCCATGAACACCCTTGCATCAATAATTATTTTATCGACTTTTTTGGTCGAGTTGTTGCAAACAGTGGTAGAAGCATCTACCGCCTTGTTCGTCTTTTCTAGGTTGGCGGAGTGCTCTTTCGTAAGGGTCTCAAGAAGGGACTTGACCGTTGCTTGAGAAGAATCATCAGTGGATGATGCCTTTGAATAATGAAGCAGGGAGTCCAATTTTTCGTGTATTACCTTGAGCATGCCTTTCGTGATGGGAGCTTCATCATCACCGTATATCATATCTGGGTCATTTTGGCGAAGAGGGGAAATGGGTGGTGTGATATGACCAGTTGTGAAACCTGAAGCTCTTGCCCCCACATTAGATGCGTTGACAGTTGCAGGAGGCTCAATAGATGTTGTTGGTGTTGTGGTGGAATCGGTGAAAATAGATGGGGGTTGCGAAACACCCAAAGTTACAGGTGGGCATGGAGCAATAGATATGGGTTTGGAAACGGTGGAAGTGGGAGAGGGAATGGAGACATTCTCAATGAAATTAGTAGAAACAAGAACCCAGCATGATTCGTAGAAATCGGCTGAGAAACCTTAAGTTGTGAAGTTGTTGAAGTGTCTTCGTTTTGGAGTGGCTCATCCCTTTCAATATGAATGTCTGAGTCAGACTGCATACCTTCATTAACACTTGGAGTTGGAGATCTAGGCTTGAGAGTTGCCTTCTTTATCTTTCACTTCTTTGTTGGAGTAGGAGGTGCTACAAATGAGCCAGTTTGTGACTTTCGTTTCTTGGGTGTTTTAGCAGGTTCAAACGGACCCTCCTTAGCACTTTATTTCATTTAACCATTTTTGCATCCTTTTTGCCCTCCTTTCTTTGGTTTGTCAGCTTCATCGATTATTTATTGCATCTCAGGAGTCAGAGGTCGAAAGCCTAAAATTGGAAGTTTTCTGTAAGCTTCAAGTATCTTGCTTGCGATAAGGACATCGTGAAACATGGCTTCAGGAATGGAGTCAACAAAGGAGAATTTTGAATTGTCTGCAATAATGATGTTTTTAGTGTGGAAGATTGAAATGGCAGACATGAAGGAGTCTTGCATCAATGGAATCTAGAACTTTTCAATTGCCTTTTGAACCACCACTGTCCAGAAGCGACCACATGAAATTTGACTTTGTCGGTTTGTAGATTGGGTACTTTGGACCAACTGATCCCAAAGAACAACCCTAAAATAAATATTGACCCCTGTGTAGATCCCATACATGATGGTGATGAATAGATTACTGGCACAATCGGAGCCAGTTACACGTTCAGAGAAACTTTTGAATAACATGGTAAAAAGCCCATTCCGTTGAGGTGGCAAATTTGGTTTTCTAAATTTTGAGAGGGTCAATAAGGGTTCATTGTACCCCATTTGGTAGAACATCTCCATGATTATGGCGATGGAGACGGAATCAGGGTCAATCATATCATCAGTTAGAGCACACCCTAGTAAGGAGCAAAATCGGGATTTGGTGATGGATGTTTTCCTATCGTTAACCTCGAAGGTGATCCTTTGTTCTTCCTTGATGTAGCAGGTAGATGAGTAGGGATTTGGTAAGAGAGACATCAGAACAATCTCTGATGTGGTCAAATCTTTAACCAGAGGGGAATATTTCAAACACTCAATGATGGGTACCATGTAGCTATCATACTTGAGAGGATCATGATCCAAAATCAAGTTTTGATTAGGCTTGATAATAAGAAGCATCGACTGTGCAGATTGATCTTGAACAGAAGGGGTTTCAGAAGAACTTGCCATTATTGATTTCTTGGAGAATAAGATGAACAGTAAATAGGTTTATTCTCCGGAATTCTTTAAGGGTTTTTGTAAACAGTAATAACAATTGAATTGGAAAAATCCATTTATACGATTTGTTTGGAGACAGAAATCCGAACATATGGTGTATCGTTTACTGAAATGTCGCCTAAAAATATGTGATTGACAACTGTTACATCAGGCATGCTTGTTAGTGTAACATCCCAAGTTTTGTCATTTGTAGTCCCTGGGGGTGGAAGGGTAAAGCCATGAAGAGCCTAAGGGCTAAATTATAATTTTAGGACAAGGAGGAGTATGTTGCGCATACATAAGAGTACGGTGAGCATACTAGGGCGCGCCCAACTATTCTTGGTGTATACTTGTGTACGCTAGGCGTACTAAAAAAGGATGGAAACCCTAATATCTCGGGTTGGGGGCTATATAAACATCCTTATGGCTTATTTTCTCTCTTGCTTCTCAGCCTCGATCCTTTAGAAACGTCCCCAAACACTAGTTCTTGTGTGTGAGAGTGAGTTAGTGGGTACTTTCAGCTCTTGAAGGTGAAGCCATTGCAACAAGTAGTTGAAGAAGGAGGTTGGCTTGTAGATATGAAGTTTTGTTGTGCCTTAGAAGGTCCAAAGGGTAGAAAGCTTCAAACTTTATGCTTGTAAGTCATAGATCTAGCCTTTCTAGCATTATGGAACCATTTCTTGTCCCAAAAACCCCAATTTGGTGCATGATGCATTTTGGACGAGATAAGTTGTCCATTCTGGACCTTGGAGAGGTCTTAAGTGATAAAAATTAGGTCCCAATGGCTTAATATGTCCCATGAATATAGTAGAAGGGTCTTAATGTCCTTGTATTAAAAGCTTTCTGGACGTCCAAAGTGATAAAGTTGGAGACTTTATGAGTCCTAGGCACATTTGGTCACTGGATCTGGAGTTTGGGCTTAAGTGCTTAAGCCATTACACATTTATTAGGGGTTTGGTAAAACCCTACGTACGCCCAACATAAGTTTCTGTACGCCCAGCGTACTAGGTCAATCACCCTATTTTTCTAGTCAATGTGAGACTCGTGTACGCCCCACGTAGCCTTGGGGTATGCGTAGTGTACGCCTTCTATGAAATTTCGGTGATTTGGGCTTTGGGTTTGGGACGCTTTTTGGGCTAGTAGGGTTTAGACCTTGCTGGACTTTCTGAGTAAATATGTTTGGAGCTGTTTTGGTGATAGTGGATCATGGGGTTAAGCCCAATAAGGAAGTTGGGCCCAATTTAGTAAATTAGGACAATAATAGGCCTTACATAAAGACTATCAAGGTTATGGGCTTGGAATTAGGCCTTGGCTCAATAAAACAGAATGGACATGATGAATTGGGTGGACGCTTTTGCCAAGATTGTTATGTTGTGTAATGACTTGGTATTTATTATGTGATAGTTCGGGATTTCCAGTGAGATAACAGTTCAGGGGTTCGTTTCTTTGGTTCAGATAACGTTGCGAGGTGAGTTATCCTCACTATACTAAAGGGTCTAAGGCACCAAGGCTGGCTTTTTGTTTTGTTATTAGGATTATTACTAGTATGATCTGTTAGATTGGTATACTAGTAGATCGGATGTGGTTATTCTTAGTGACCTATAGTTGGTCTGACTATCTGCATGCTAGTGGTTATGCTAGTTAGGTAGATTTGTAGGACTACATGTTTTGTTATAGGATTATCTGCATGCTCAATGGTTATGTTATATGTTGATATATTATATCGGATGGGTTGAGGTGATATTGCTCCGTTCGGTAACCTATAAACCCGAGAGCATTCCAGATATGAGCTGAGGGAGACTCATATTGTTGGTTTGATGGCAATCCAGATGTGAGCTATGGGCCCGGAAGGCAATCTAGACTCACACTATGGGCCCAGGGGTAATCCAGACTGTAAAGTTATGGAACCAGTACATACTTTTAGTTGTATATGTGTTATGTGAAGTGTATCGATGTGTTGGCATTCCAACCCAATGGTTGAGGGCTTGGGGTATTCCAACCCGATGGATGATTGGACCCATAGTATGCTATTTGTTATTATATGTGTATCATTGTGTATATGGATATTTTAGGGGTAACTCACTAAGCTTTCGGGATTACAATTTTAGTTTATTTTTTCAGGTTCAGCAGACTATCGTGGGAAGGCAAAGGCGTGACCGTACGTTTTCTTAACTGATGACTATCATTTATGGGAACTCTGATGTTTAAACTATTTTGAAAACAAATTGTAATAACTGAATCATTTTAGATGATTTAAAAAGTTTTAAATTGGCTCGAATTTTATGGATGTTACAGTCACGCAGCAGTAAAGTAGACGTCATTTCAAATTTCACGCGCCCATTTGAATTCCTATCCATGAGAAATTTTTACGTCAGCTTCACCCTTTCACATTTATGTTACGTTCCACTTGTCACATGTAGATACAAACTTTCGATTTTAAGTAAACTTGGGTTGAAATGTGAAACTGAAAATAAATGTGAGTGACACAAACTAGACTTTGGAAAATCATAAGGATCTCCATGCGAGAGTGTGTCAATGATAGAGAAACAAAGCAATACAAATGTGTCGGATTTTAGTGATGTCTTGTTTAAGACACGAAATAGTGGATCGCAGACAAAGATCTCTTCCATCAAATTCAAGATAGACTAAGAAGTGTCTTTGTGGTTCCCCGTTGAATTACGATCACCTGTTTATTAAGAAACAGTGAAAGGTATCTTTTAAAGGTTTTATTAGGTGGTTCCATCTCCAACTAAGCTACGAAACTTGATATAAGTCCGAAAGTTCGAATGGAGTACTTGTTTGACCTGTGTAGTCAATTGAAAAAAGTAAATATTGGAATTATTTTAAGTGATATGGATTCGCATTGAAATCTAAAAAAAAAAAAGCTGGTTCTATTGGGTAGGAACTGTTGGGAATTTGAGCATTCTAACACTCCTAAGTGTACATGCAACCCTAAATACATTGGATCTAGATTTTCTCTATTGTACATGCACATATCAATTTCCATGGTATTTATCCTAACTAGCATATTATGAAATATAAGTAATATGAAATCTAGTAGAAATACATACCACTTTGTTGGTGCTTGATTCCGTGGAGCTCAAGAGCCTAGTGCCCCAAATGTGACACCTCAAATGGTTCGCACAACATCATATGCACTTGGAATAACTTAAAGAGAAATAATCACTTCATGAAATTGGCTTGCCCTCCACATACACACATATTGGCCGATTTTGCACAAGAATATGATGCTTATATAGTTGTTATAATTAGGGTAAACCCTAATTGTCATGGCTTTCCATTTCCTTGGATCCATGGGTTCAAATACACCATGGAGCATCCATGGAGTATCCTATGGGTTTTAGCCCAACTTAATAATCCATGGAGTCTTATCCCACTATACAAGTATGGATGATTTACACAACCAACCCATATATTTAATTAGTCTTCTTTTGATCTACTTAATTAATTGTAGATTAATTCTTGATTAACACTAACTAAATAATCTTATTAATATATTAGAACTTATAATATATTAATAAACCTTAAGTGTTATTTCTCTCATTTTAGTCTATCCAAATGCATGATCCCATGCAACCCAAATGGACCATGCCGGGTCGGGACAAGTATATACCAAGTATAGTTATGGGCTTAGACACTAATCCAACAGTCTCCCACTTGGATAAGTCTAATAACTATCATTGCAAGTACGCCTTAACAACCCGACCAGCAATCATAGATCTTAAAAGCTATTGCCGAACTCTGAACAAATCAATGACGCGTCCATTAGATAAGTGATCGTATATTCCTCTATTCTAGATATCATATGGACTGAGACATGGATTATAATC